ACGTTATTTCTATAGTTTATTTGAAGCAAATCAGCTACTCTTTCCACACCAATAACCTTGAAGATGACACTGCCTCCAACCTATGCCCCTGTGTCTAGAGTAACACCTCAGCCTCTCTGCTACGGCTTTGTGGCTGACAGCCTCATCAAGAGCAGAGACAGACAGCTCTTCCCCACCGATACTTCACATCCAGTAGACCCCACAGACACGTCTCTCCAGACTGTAGTGTAAGGGGCACCTCTTTCCACATCCACCATTTCAGGCTGTATTTCAGGTTTTGGACAGTAAGCTGTTAAGAACCAGGCTGGTGAGTCCTACACACCTAACATGCATTACAGGTGGCAGAAGGGTTCTCCCTTGCCACCTTCCCTTCTTCAATGCCCTTACATTACTGCCAGCAAAGTTAGCTTTTACCTGAAGATTTCCAAGGATGAAAAAACTACCTTGTTACATGGCATCACATCTTTCCCAAGAATGGGGCAGAGACCTGAAACTCATCTGTTTCCACAAGCAGCTGCATGTGACACCAGGTCAGGGCACCACTGTGCAAGGAGAGTCTCAACCCACTGCACTGAAAGTAAAGTAGCAGAAAACTGAATTTTTGCAAGACTGAGATGCGTGTGTCAAAACATTGTTTTAAATGAAATATTCTTTTAAATTTTAAGTTAGCTGATCAACTGTTTCATGCCACGATTTGCACAATGAATCAAATGTAAACTCTCACATAATTATGGTAAGATGAATCAAAATTTTATCAAGCTTATTAGTTGGCCCAAAAATATCCAACCAATTTGATGTAAAAGTGTTCTTAAAATGTTTAAGTCCTTACAGATTTACCATACCTTCAGTGTTCTGTAAAGGACTTGCATTTCACCTGCATTTTTCATCCCTCATAAACCCTTTCTCCAATATAAGTCACCTATGGCTACAACTTCAGCATATTAAAGCTCATTCATCACCACCTACACTTATTAAGTCCATGTCACTGATACTGATTCCACCGACAAAAGTTTGATTAGATGAGCATTGCATTTAAAAAAGCATACAGAAGCAATCCAGAAAATACAAGTAAAAAAAAACAACTGTATTATCTCCAGTAAGACAACAGGACTCATGACATTTGGATCCCACTTTCTCCTCACACGCAGTGAAAAAAATCCTGGTAAGAAAACAGCTGCTGACTGTCAGTTATTTTAAGAGCATAAAGCTTTATGTGGTTACTAAGATCAGGGAAGGCCAACGGAACATACTAGTCCATTCACGAGGAAACTGAATAGCTTAGATACAGCATGTCCCTTCGGTGTCCAACTTCTCACATACACCCCTAATCTACTGATTACCGAGGGCACAGCTCAAGTACCTATTACTATGGTACAAATTAGACTTACTCAGACATGGGCAGATGTCAAGTAGAACAAGGCACCCTCATTCAGCCTGTCAGGAAAAAAATCAGCATAGGGAACGGGCGTGCATCTCTGTTTTGGTTGAAGTACTTTATTTGTACAATTTTAAGTTAAATATTTTCCAATATACTTATGAATTAATATTTTTTAAGTTTATGAATGTAGGAGTCAATACTACTAGGTGAAAAAGCTTGTATTGTACATTCTCACTTTATTAACAAAGTCACATTTTAACTTAACGGACTAAGTTGCAGTATATATTTTAAACCCTTTAAAGCTTGCTGCTTGAGCAAAGGTGAAACATTTTTCCACTTTTAACCAGAAACTCTGTACACTCAAAACTGCACAGTAATAAACCATTATAAAAACTATAACAGGGAAACAGCAATTTCCATTATACATCCCACAAACTTTATGTAACTGTATAAATACCACTCACAGAAAGAGATATTACAGCACAGAGGTTAAAGCCAAGGTTATGATCATGTAGAACTGGGAAAAGAAACCAGTTCCTGCACCTCCACCCTGCAACAAGGACTAAACTCTATTCAATTCACAAGCTATCCCATTAAATCTTACCCATATTCAGCCTTGCAATATCCCGTAAGAATTAACAAAACTAGCCAGATAGATATTACCTGTTATTGCAGCTACTAATGCTCACACAGAGGAGTCTTAATGTAGGCAAATCCAGAAACACTGTTCACAGTGGGTGTCATTGGCTGTAAGCCTTATCCGCTCTCTTAAGTATCAGAGCACAACCTGACCCAGCTATATGCTGAAGACCGTGAAAAGCTGACTGCTATGCAAGTAGAACGTCCTTAACAGCAACCATCTGCACAAATTAAATGCTAGCCCCACAAAATAACTGTTGTATGTTTTTCACAGAGCCTTTTCTGAAAATTACCACACTAAAATATAGTCAACATCTGTAAATACACTCAAAGAAAAATGTATGTATTCTCAGTAACTGTGGCATCACTATGAAAATATTTTAAGGTATGTAGACTGATACTTGGAACATTGATACCTAAACTATATTTCTTGTAAAAAAGAGAACAATCAAGTTCCAATTTTATTAAGCTGGTAATAACAAAGATATCTTATTAAAAAAACAATGCAGTTATTTCTCAACTGCACATTTTTCCAAGCTCTGTAGAGTGATACCCAGCTGGCAAGTAAATACAACTGTACTTGTCTAACACACTGTACCTGTCTAAAGCACATCAAACTTATGCAAGCCTGTACAGACCAGATGGCCACACAACTTCTACTTCCTTCATTCATCCTTACACCTTCTAGAAAGCTACAGCAAGAGTTTAAAGAACTTTTTTTTTTTAAAGGGTAAAGATTTTTAGTAATGAAAAAGCTCCTTTACCCTAAGGAAGCAGCCTAGAAAGTTGAAACGAAAGAATCTGAACCAAACCAAGTCTGTGGTGATATCCCCTCACCTCATTGTTAACAGCAGAAATCTCTGTTGTTGAGTTTGGAGAGTTTAAACAGGGACTCTGAAGAACAGTGTTATCCACAAAGGAAGCAGCCTAAGGAAGTAGTAGACCCCTGAGCAAGTCCTACCTGACTTACTGGGTCAGAGGTGGGACTGCCAGAAGATGACTATCTCAGGGGCAGACCAGAGCAGTGCAATGAGCTGCAGAAGGAAGTTCTGCCCACGAGATCTAATCCAGGGACTCTGCTTGAGCCCTGACCAGAATCTGAAAACAAGGAGAACGTGTGCCATGACTAAGGAATCAAATACTCCGCTACTCTGGTTGTCCACAAAAGGCATCACAGAACGTAATATTTTTATTTAAAATACTAAATATTATTCTTAAAAGTTATATTATTGTTAAATACTATTCCATATTATTGCTACTACTCAACCAACTGCGACAAAACCTTCATGGACTTTGGCCACAACAGAGTGATCTCAAGGTCACAGAGTAAATTAAATCAACACCATTTCCTGGGTAAGTCAGCTGGATGAGCACAAGGATTTCTCCTGCTGCTTCATAAAGAATCCAGCACCTGGCCAGGACACCGTTACAAAGAAATCCTCCCGCAGCCTTCCTGAACTGGCAAGCAGAGTCTGGAAGAAGCCAAGGGAAAGATGACTACAAGCCAATATTATCTTCAAGCAGATTTTCTCTTGACTGAAAGCAAGACAGACTACCGGCCACTATTTGCAGATGATGAACCTCATCCCAGAATGAGGAAATTAAGCACTAGTGACAATTTTTGTAAAGTAGTTACTAAACTACAAATCACAAAACCATTTCTATGAAAATATGCAAAGGGCTCCAGGATGATGGAAGACTAAAAACCATTTAAAAACCTTTTTCTTAGATCTAGGTAACAAAACAGGCAAATCCCATGTAAGAATCTAAACTGGTTCCTACCTGGGAGTTTAAGCAATTACTAGTCTATTATAATAAAAGGATATTTTTCAATTTAAAAAAAGAATGAAATTTTCATGGTGTAGCATTAATACTACAAATGCAAAAAAATTTAGAAATTGAGGTGCCTGAGATAACAGCAGTTCTTCTAACTTGAGCTCTTCAGTGCCAAGAAAAGCACTGGAGTTGTCCACAAAGGCACCATTCTCCTAGATAATTATCTTTAGAACAAAGCAGTAGCTCCAGAGTATCAAAACTTAGGGTTTAAAAGAAAGCACTCAAGACCACATTACTCGTATTATACTTAAAACAAAAAAAAGGCACAAAGACTATCATGAAAAATGCTAAAATAACATGCTGCTTTAATTCTCAACTGTTACTGGAAATTTGGCAAAAAAAAGGAAACACTGGGACTAATCGTCCCAAAGGAAGGCGCTAGCTGATGAGTCTACAGCACTAGAAACATAGCATATTTATGGAATCCATCTGACAAATAAGACATTGCATCACCTAATTGTGCTCATAAAAAATGACCTTGTTTCCACAAAAGTAAATCCTTTAAGTACTTATTTAGGTACAGTTATATTCTGACATAGGGTTCTTCCTTTCCTGTAATATTTTGGGACCGCAGTTTAACTGCATGCTCCCAGAATATTGTTGTGTTCCAGCAGACAGGAACTGAAAGCTTTCAGGAAAGCTTCTATTGACTACTACTATTTCCATCTTCTTTACGGCAAATATATCAGACTTCCAATCAAAATCAGACAAGGACAATAAAGTGTTAATAACCTGTCACGTAGAATAGGTAGCACACGTAAGATCGACAGAAGGGCTCCTGTAACTACCAAGTTAACCCTACTAAAGGTTACCCATACACCAAATATCAGGGGTTTTTACTGATGTCTAGAACACATTCAGCAGTCAACAGTAAAAGCCTTTGGTAGACTGATCACTATAGAAAACTTAGGCGTCATGGTTAATCATTTATGAAACCATACATATTCTACTGCTCTGCCTTCCAGCTCTTTATTTCAATGATCAGCTTTGCCTATGGTTTCCATGAAGGGCTCTATATTCACAGCTTTCCAGAACCAAATGAAACTGTTAGGCAAATGACACAGTTATTCTAAGTTGGGGGGCGGGAGGGGAGGAAATCCTACATTAGCATTTTGGGCTTTTTAGAAAACACACGTCCGTTACTCACAAAGTGTCTCTCCACATCATCTCTGATAAGTGGAAATACCTCCTCTGTTCTTCATGCACCTGTAGTCAAACAGAAAAGAATTGAAGCAGAATCACAGACAGACATCCTGAAATAGCATCTGCCTCTCAGATCCCCTGGATTTTCACAAAACAAACCAAGATTTGTTCTAAACATTCACACACAATATGACTTTTCCCCATTTCACTAACTTTCCCCAGTAAAATTACAGAGATAAAGGAGCACAAAAGAAAGAAAACTGCTTCTTGTTTGCATGTATTACACTGCTTTTTGCTGTGGAAACAAGGATGAATTATGAAAACTAATCAAGTGAACAAAGAGAGCACATGCCCTAGATTTTTCAAATAATCTCTTGGTTTAACCCAGTTGTTCCTGAGCCTGCCTATCCCATGAACAATTTACTAAAATGGAAGCTGTGACTCATTAAAGCCACCTTTTATTGGGTGGAAGAGGGAGAGAAACAGCTCAAATTATTTATGTGCAAGACGTAATCACATTAATTTGTACAGAAGAGGCCAAATCTTTAATGAGTTCCATTTTTAAGATCTAATATAGTTGATCAAAAACTCCTTGTTCAATTTTTTTTTTGTGTCTCAAGAGTATATCTTGCAGCCATTAACCAAAATGAAAGACTACAGACTATATTCAAATTTGTGAACTCGTACTTCCACTTGAAGCGACAGTGAAAAAGTTGTAACATTTCAATTTGTGGATATCATTTAGCAGCAAGCATTGCAAAATATAAACTACACAATACCCCTGAAAAAAGCCACACTTCTGATTTTCAGTCTTTTACATATTTTACATTGATAAACCTAAGTGAATGATAAAAAATTAGTAGCTGTATGAATTAAGTATTTCTTTAAAGCAATTTACTATTAATTCACAGCCCAGAGCAGAAATTCCTATTTCTTAATTAATACTTTTAACATACAAAAGTAAATTAGTATTTTTAGATATGGTCACAAAACAGTAAATCTATGTAACAGATTTGAAAAAACAGGTCAGTTTATATATAGCAGAAAACAGAAACTTCTGCAAATCATCCTCTCCCCTCTGATTACTCTGTACCATTACAAATAAAATTCTGACTTCAGAGAGCAGGTCACAAACAATGCTAATTTAGGAGCCTGTCTAAAATTTTATTTTGTTAAAGCAGATTTAGATGTTTAGTGGAAGGAAATCTCACATGATATTTGTAAGCATGAATTATAAATTCAGTGTGTACTTTGCAATACTTTAAACGTGCCATAACGGAGACAGCATCAAACAGAATTGCTGAACAGCATCTAACTTGCCCACTCCCTCCCACTGATGCCAGAGCAGCCGGTAGAATAAGGCGGTTCTTAACTCCTGGTGTTGCTGAACCTCGGGACACCCTCTTGTTTCAAATAAACTTCAGGTTTTCCTCTATTAAAAGTCTGCTGAGTAAATAGGATATGTTTTATCTATCCTCCATCATAAAACTGATGTTAAAAAAGTACCATGTACATCTGAACTGCTTTCCTACCGTCACATTCAGAAATAGTTATTTGCAAAGTCCTGTGTGATGTGCAGTGTGGTTAATGCAATTGGGATGGATACTGCGGTCTCACTCCTTCTTTTACCATCCTGTGGGCATTGAACAGGCTTCTCTGCTGAGGCAAATACACTACACAACAGTATGAAGGGATCAAAAGACAGGTGGCCCTCAGCTTTGCAAAACTAAGGTTGGGATTAAATTCATTCTAAGAAATAAATTAAGCTGGCCTCCTTTTGGGCAAGCATACACTACAGATGGGTTTGTGTATATAGTTAAGCATCTTCTTTCCATACGCCTGCTCGGCAAGGTCAAAACCACGTTCCTTTGATGTGGTCTTTAATAGGGTTGCTTATCCGTACCTATCAACTATACTGCTCACTCCAGCTTGCTTAAGGATTGGGAAGAAAACCTGACCTTTCAATTATTAACTACAAATAAAAGTAATTTGTTTTAATCCTTCCATTTTACATAATTTCCCTAAACAGGTCACTAACAAACTTGCAGCTAAGTTGACTTGAAGTTTTTGGAGAAATAAGTGTTAGTAGCGCACAGTAAATTTGTGCTGTACCCGACAAAACTAGACCTGAATTCCTGAAAAGATCAGTTTCACCTTCTCCAAGAGACTGCTTAACACATTAGACTGACCAAACTATTTACATACAGTCAGTGCTACTTCTAATAACTTTAACCCTGTTGCTTAATTTCAAATAAAAAGCTATTAAAGTGACTTCAAAAATGAAATCCCTTCTATCTGTGTATCTCCTCCCTTCACCTGAAGGTTTCTCTGGGATGAGATTTTAGCAGAACAGCTTATGTTATCCGCTCACATTACTCTGCTTGTGAAAGAAAGCTGAGCCAATTATACTGCAAGGTGAATGCTGAATTTTTCTTTTCTTAAATTTGGGGCATTTTTTTTTTTTTTAAAACCACTGCTGATGGGACAAAAGAAACTACCTCTCTGGAGCTGGGTGGCTGGCTTGCAGTAGAAAATCATGAGAAATGCTACAAGGTTTTTTTTTTTCCCCTGTACATAGGAGAAAACTAAAGATTATAAAAACGAATAGTGCAGGATGGGCAAGCTGATGCACAGTTCTAAAACTGGCAACTGATGGATTTTCTTCCAATAAAGTAGAAAATTCAGCAAGTGCATGAGGAATATTTACGAAGTCTCATTACCATAGAAATTCAGACAGTTCAAATTCCGTGTTAAAAATAAAATTTTTCACACTCAGAAAAGTTTTAGTTAACTTTCAACTTTAATGATAGAGCTGCTATCAACTTTTCCACCCACACCATTGATTCTACATGCCCAATAGACAAACAGGAGAAATTCACACCTTCACTTACAACTTTACAGCTACTCACTACGTCCACAGAAAGGACAAATCTGATCACCAGCACTAACTTGCCTCCCGCTGCCAGCAGCTGGGGGCTGAATTTCTCACTGCTGTGCAGGTTCCTCAGATCTTTTTGGTTTGTGGTGTTCGCTCTTGTGGCTGCTGTTATATTTTGCTGTCATTCTTTCAGATATGCAAAAGCAAGTATATATATTTATGAGTAATGATTCATTTCCTAGATAACACATTATATTTGTTTTAACGACCTTCAGCATGAATTTAGGAAGACAATTTAAAAGGGGTGTAGTTAAGATCCATGTAAAATTGATTAGCATTTCACAGAGAAGTTAAACTACTTCTAATTCCAACTCCATAAAATAAATAAAAACACTACATGTGTTGGTCATATGCCAGTGCACACCGCTCACATAGCGGACACCCTGTGAAACTGTTTTATTTTTATGCCTATATTTTGTCTTCTATCAGAATGCTCTAGATTTTTCAGAGTTGATAGACAGTGCTTATGGCTTATGTAGGTTACTTGTATCGGTTACAGTCAGCTCTTCAGAAACAACAGCAAATTAGTGACACAAGACACGACAAAGGGGCACAGTCTAGGAAGCCATTAAATGAACAAGCCCACACATCCTCAGTGGCATACAGTGAATATGAAAAATACACTCATCAGAGGACAGACCTCAGCAAACACGTCATTTCTACAGAAGGCGAGCTGTTTTCAAATGATGCTCAGAAATCAAAGCTGGAAGATGCTGTGATTTAGCCTGACCTACAACGTTAACGCAGTCCTTTCTCTTAGCACAGTAGCCAATGAAAACTAAAACCATAACAAAACAGAACTGCTTGTCCTGGTCTCAGCTGGGATAGAGTTAATCTTCTTCCCAGTAGCTGGTACAGTGCTGTGTTTTGGATTTAGGAGGAGAACAATGTTGATAACACACGGATGTTTTAGTTGTTGCTCAGTAGTGCTTACACTAGTCAAGGACTTTTCAGCTCCCCATGCTCTACCGACTGAGCAGGCTGGAGGTGCACAAGAAGCTGGGGGGGGGCACAGCCAGGACAGCTGCCCCAAACTGGCCAGAGGGACATTCCATACCATGGGACGTCGTGCTCAGTACAGAAACTGGGGAAAGCTGGCCGGGGGGGCCGCTGCTCGGGAACTGGCTGGGCATCGGTCGGCGGGTGGTGAGCAACTGCACTGTGCATCACTTGCTTTGTATATTCTTTTATCATTATTATTACTACTATTTTATTTTATTCTATTATTAAACTGTCTTTATCTCAGCCCACGACTTTTCTCACTTCGACTCTTCCACTTCTCTCCCCCATCCCACCGGGGGCGGGGGGGGAGCCGGGGCAGCAGAGAGTGAGCAAGCAGCTGTGCAGTGCTCAGTTGCCAGCTGAGGTTAAACCACAACACTGCTGAAAAACAGACTGTTGACTAAATCCACAGGGAGCAAGAGGCTAAATTCTAGCCTGGGAACATTAATGAAGGACGCAGTTCCACGTTACACTTAGTCTGACCTAACTAGCACTTGCCTACCTTGTGCTGAACGTAACAAACCAACCAGCTGCACAATTCAACAGAAAACAGCTGTCAGAGGGCAAGCAGCGCCCAGCACAGCAAACGCTGCCTCCCATCAGACAAGCAAGGTGATCCCACTCACCTGGTGGCAGCCACACAACCCCAGCACCCACTGAACAACCGTGCAAAGAGCAGAAGAAAGCAACATTGTCCCTTTTAGCAGCAGCTGATTAAATCTGACATTGAATTATACCCTTTAAAAGAACTGCTTTAATCTCTAAATAAGAAGTAATAATAAGAGAAGCTTTCTCTAAATACAGAGAAGTATATGCCTAAAAAGACATTTTTTTCTTAAAAGTAGGATGTAGAATAGCCTGATGTAGGCATTTTCAGCATGAACTTTGTACACGTTTCTGGACATTAGCATAGCCTCCCATTTTTTATAAGAGGCATCAGAGTTGCATTACCTGAGAGCAGCATTAACATGTATCAAGTATCACCTGATAATCAATAATTAACAAATAGAATCATTACTATTTTCCACCTACAAACTAGAAGTATTTAAACATTTTCAATAAAAATCAAGTCCATGCACAAAAGAAACCCCGTATCTTAGACTACAGAAGATACAACTGAAGCTACCGATTTGCTTCAGTCGACCAGGTACTGCATTTTGAAAAACTCAGTGTCATAAAGGAAGCCAATAAACTGTTGAAATACAACTCCAGGTAGCAGAACAGATCTTATCCTAACAGAAATTTAGTAACTGTGTTAAGTGAAGTTTTACCCACCAAAAGGAATGCTACCATGCTTGTTACATAATGTTCTTTGTTAATGTACTTTAAAAATACGTTCAATTTATTCGACCTATTTTAGGAACAAAATAAACCAAGCTTCAGCATGTTCACACAAGCTTAGAAGTCTTCAGTAATATTTTACGTATAAAAAACAAGCTTCTCATTAGTATAGTATTTCACTCATATAGCAAGAGAAAATAGTTCTCTGAAGATCGAACCATTAATACGCTGCTTATAAATCGCATCCAAGTAAAACCCCTGCAGTTTAAAATGGCACCATAGGCAGCAGGAAAATGTCATGCCATATTGGATGCCCCTATATTATGCTCTCAAAATTAGGAGCTTCAGCAGTTACAGCATAGAATAATCCAACCCCAGGGAATGGGCTTTTCTCCAATTAGGTTGAGCCCTAACGAGACCATCTCTGCACACAGCAATCCTAGCCTGGGACCAAAGGAGAGGGGGACAACGATGAGGCTCCAGATGACACACCACAGTGACAAGGAGTTTAAGGTGCCAGCACAGGGAGGGGGCAATCAGGCCGCAGGGACCAGTGTTTTTCCAAAACCCCAGACAGCGCAAGTGAGACAAGCCAGCTCCCTGACAGAGCCATGCAGACCTGACGGATTAGTAACTCTGAGTTCACACCGGCTTTTGTTGCTTGGACAGCAGCACTGCTCCGTCTCTTCTGCCCTTGGCCCAAACATCTGCACCACCTCTTCAAGCACAGCTGCAGCTCCAAGCATCGTTCAGAGCTGTGCACAGCACCCAGATGGTCTGGCAGTGGCAGCTGCCTAAAATGCTGCTGTCCTACTACACCCACAATCCGGAGCAGGTCCCTATCGATGACAATGCCCGTATTCCTGTTTGTGGGTGTCCAGACTATAAAGCAAGCATCTTCCATGCCACTCCTCTATTAAAGGCAACGTGGGCTTCTGCCTCCATATTTATGACTGGAGGAAGGTTTTTAATCATTATCTCTCAAGAGCCATGAAAGTACAGAGTTATGACTCTTAGCCTACGTGGATTGCTTCCGTTTGTCAGGAACTCCCTTCTGGGGAGTATATGCCACAGATTTAGAGGCATCAACTAAATACTGCTCTGGAAGGGTTAATAAAAAGGCCAGTTCACACCAGGCTGAAAACACGTGACAACAACAGGAGGTGAAATCCTGTGAAACTTCCTAGTAAAATAATGCACACTTCTGTAGACCGAAATCTTCCAGTCTTCAAAAGTGACTTTTGGATAGCCAGCATATGTTATCTGACAATAAAAGCAAAAAAGTTCAGAACATTCAAGCCCACTTTCCGATTTTTTGCTGTAAAACCTTTTGGTGCCCCTCTCCTGTATCACACACCAGAGTATCAGAGCCACCTGCTTCACTGAGAAACCAAATCCATGGTATTTCCTTAAGCTACCATTCAAGTATCCACATGACAAGCCACCTTGGAATCACTTTCTACTAAACTATGAGCCTTCCCACCTGCTGTTACTTTCATCAGCCACATCCTTTACCTGCAGGCTTCATCTAAACCACATCCTTGGGAAAAAAAAAATCTACATATGCAAATAAAGGCCTGGGAAAAATGCTTCTGGACCAAGTTAGTCAGCATGATTTCAAACACCGTCAGCAAGCTTACTAATTCTGGAGTGCTGTTAACAGGTGAAGGTGGAAGCTAAGGGAACACCAGACCGCAGATCAACTTAAAGGCATTAGTTTTCCTTCACTTCCTAACAGCTATTTTAAGCATCCCTTAAAAAGACACAACCACTGAACTGATAATTCAGGAAACACTAGGTCATAAGGCTATCCAGAGCACAACACAGCACACAGCACTCACTGGCTTATTATAAGCCAAACAAATGACATGAGTGTTGAATAAGATGTGTTTCACATGTAATTTAGCTTATTACTTAGTAGCACGTGGACATTTTCAAACACTACAGGATTAATAGCAAAGACGAGATTTGGATTTCTAATGCTACTTGTCCCAGAAATGGACATTAAGAACCTCCCAAAGGCAAGGACCTTGAACACCAGTACAACAACAGTCCAGCTCTTTTGGCCCCAATTGCCACCTCAAAAGAAGAGCCAGAGGAGAAGCCACACAACTTCTAGAGAACTGATTGGCAGGGAACAAAAAACCCAAGATCATTCTAGATGTCTCAACTTGTACCAAGAATCATTTCCATCCTTAAAATTCCTCTTAACTACACTGTACATGTGTGATTATTCTCTGACATTACGTACATTTGTTCTCAACTCCACAAGAAATCACAAGGTTTTGGTCAGAGCAAACCTGTGAAGAGTGAAGTTCCCTGGCTTACCTTTCAAACAGTGAAGCTTGCTAAATAGGACAGTTTGAAATGAACGAACATTTTACCTCTGAGCAGCACAGCTTGAAATTGTTAGCTCAGTCTATCCATGATCAGAAAAAGTAAACTGAATCTTTAGCCGCATTCTGGTAAGATTTCAAAGCCATTTAATAATCTACAAATATATGCATTTGTCTTTTTCAGCTAAGCTGAACAAACTTCTCAAAAAGCTGAAAGCAATCAGTCTTAACAGTGTCTCCTTGTGTTGTACACACTACTTTGTACCTGAACAGCTTCCTGTGTCTTTATCAATTGTTCTAATAAACAACCTAAGGCTACATAATTTGATCCACAACAATTTAACAATTACAGTATTTTCAACAAAGAAGAGTTCTGAGATTTTCAAGATATTAACAGGCCTAACATTTCAGGTATATCAACTGGCTTTTGAAAGCCCTGGGTAAAAGACTGCTCCCATGGAAGAATTAAACATGACATGGTCAGAAAGTTCTACAAAAGAAAATGAAATATTTTTCAGTTGAGTATTTGCATGTTAGGCATTTAAAGTGCTGTGAAGAGTTTAGATACAAGAATTTCCAAGAGCTGTTCATTTCCAATTGACTATATCCAAATCACGACATTTAACAATACAAAAGCCTTCTAACTTCTGTCCCAGTAAAGGCTGACAAATAGCATCAACAGCATCTGCTGAAAATTTACACTTTACAAGCATGCTACTCACGCACATAGTCTCTCATAAGTCATCTATTTTGTACTGGGAAAATTCATCAGAATAATTTTCAATGCATCAATTTAAGGATGCCTACTGCAACATCTGGAAAAGGCTATATAAAGAATACAGAGCATATTCATATATGAGTATTTATTTATATATATCCTTCAAGCTAGAAAGTTTCAGGCTACCAACAGCACAAAAGTATCTGAATATTTTGATCAACACTTGAGAATATCTTTAAAGGTGCCTGCTTTCTTGAACCATTTAATCAACATCTACTAAACGCTAAGTTTCATATAAGGAAAGCACCACACAGAAGTCAGATATGAAAGGTCAGGCCGAAGACCTGTTTAGCCAAGCTACCTGTCTAACAGCAGTCGATTCAGGAGCAGTGAGAGAAAAACGACGCTGCACTGACAGCTTCCCTCAGCCAATGTTCTAGGGACTTCCTCCCACAAACTGCATCCAGAATGCCATCTTTACCACTCCACAATTCACTTTTTTCTTCCACTAATATGCCTAACGACATTTCAAACTAATTTGCGTTCAAGATATCCCATGACAATGGCCTCTCGATATAATTATACACTAGATAACAATGGAGTCTCACAATATAATTACACATTACAGGAAAGCATCCTTCAGCTATCACCTCAATAATTTCATAACGCACCACCCATAGTAGCCTTCCCACCTCCAGTGTCATCTTGGCTGCAGAGATTTCTCCAGTACTGTTTCCCCAAGAGTGTTCCCCTACTGAGCCTCCCCCCTGACTTACTGTACTGCCTCTTTGCTGCATGAAAACCTGGGAGCACATCCACATTGAACTACACAATGTGTTGCCTAGTTATGTTAATTGAACAGAAACAGTTTCACTGGGGTTTAGCCATTAAAAAAAAAAAAATTATTTGCATACACAAAGCATCTCAATTTCTTACTGTTCATGGCAGGATCCCAGGGCTATGTTTCGCCATTCCCAAGTAGTCCAGGTTAATTTTGACATCTAGAACAAAGTTCAGGAAGAGAGAAGGAAAAAAAAAGTCACACACGTTTGCACACTGTTATTCACTGTAGATGTTATTTTAAAGAACTGCAGGGTACAGCATCTCCAGCAGAGTTAACTATTGGCTTATGCAGCTCTTTGAGCTCTATCTCCACTGTGAGTAGAAAATTGGATAGCCCCACTTCTTGCCTGGAGGGAACGTTCACATAACTCACTACAAATCTGTAGCATCCTGCTCTTTTCCATGTATACAGAGTATTTCACACACAATTCTGCAAGACCACAGCTTCAAATAAAAATCAATTTCAACAATAGTGCAGAAGAAAAAAAAAAGAGCTAATTTTTGCTTTCAAGCTAGTCAGACAGTCTCTCTGTATATCTCAGAAATAGAGCGACCATTTTACATAAATCACTAAATGCATACAAATCACAGGAGGTATAGAAGTCCTAACAGAAGTAATACCCTGCATCATGATACTAAGCCAAGCATGCTTTACATAAATTCACCCCACATTTGCTATCACAGCAAGAAACTATCTGGCTGGTTTTGCAGAAAGCGCACCAGTCACAACGGAGCTGAAATAGCACAAAGTTACAGCGAAAGGTTTCACAGCCATTTGGAAGTCATCTTACTGGCCAGAATGAACAACTGAAGAACAGGATTTGGGAGGAGACACTGCTTTTCTTTTTAATGCTGAAATGATAGCACGTCCAATTGACAAGGAAAAAAGCAGCCAGTTACCCCAAAATGCAAAGAGCAATTAGCAGTATTGTCATTTGCAATGGCAATCATTTTTTTAATTCATTCTAACATAAAGCAGAGTGAGGAAACACTGGCAACAACACTGCTGGCTTTCGCTTCCTCTGCGTTTCCTCTCAGAAAAGAAAAAAATTGAAACATTACAGTTGGCAACTCGTATTCTCACATTCAGTTAGCACCAGTAAGTGAGGGTCACTTCTGTAATTCAATGAACGAACAATATTTTTTCAATTACAAGCCCTTGCCAACCTGAAGCTATTCATCCAGTTAAAACATAAAACAGTACTAACAACAAAAACACATAGGAAACCGCAAGTTAACCAATAGTAACAGATGAGAAGCACTATGGGACATTCAAACTTCTTAACCAAAACAAAGGAGTTACCTGAAGATTAGAGAGGCAATTGCAGTCTTTTTCATGAAGCTTTCTTCCTTTTGATACTCCTCCTTGAAATGCATCAAATTATTTTGCTTTTTATATATGCACATCTATGCATGGCAGCCATCAGAAAGACCCATGTTCCAGAATTAAAATATTAAAGTGTCAGGAGCAACACACACAATTCATCAGGAAGCCTCTTACATAGGTCATTTTGGTGAAGAAAGCCAGAAAGACAGGAAGCTAGAAAGTAGTTTCTGGTGGCAATCAGCCCTCTAAAACTGGGATTAAGATCCAGGCTTCCCACCATGCCCTATGACAGCATTTTGCATAACCTGCGTCTCTGCAAAGCCGTGTCAGGCTACTCCAGTGACACCCACAAGCATTACAGTGGAGGGCCTTGTGAAAGGCTCTCAGTAATGAAAATCTTGAACAATGTCAGACTTGTTAGACACATCTGGGATGCCACTGAAACAATAAAGTCAATACAAAGATAGCGTTTTTTCCTGCAACCCACTCATTTTTTCCTCCTCCCATTTCTTTTTCCACCATTATTTATTCTTGACTCCATGTTCGGGACGGTGAAGTGTTGCCATGCAACCTCTTCTCTTGCACATTCGCATTTTCGGGCCCAACTCCCTCCTACCATTAATTTTACTAATGAATAAACAATCTGAACTAGTAATGGGAGCTGGTTATAACCATAGCGTGGACTTTTCCATACGTGTGTGGGGAAGACAGGACACTGTTGCACAGCAACCCCACACCACGTCCCACAGCACCCGCCAGCCTGGCGGCACTGTCAGTTGAGCGCTAGCACTAATGCCATCTCCCGCATCCCCATAAACCATGTCTAAATTTAACTACTACTTCTTCCACTTCACACCAGCAGATCACTACAGACTAACCAGAAAATATACTCATTCCCTATGAAGATGATAAACTGGGATTCTCTTACTTCACCTGCAGTCACAGGGTTATTTGCAGCGGAGAAGCCACATGACTGACCTGTAGTTCCCCAGGTCTTCCTTTTTCCCTTCCACTGACTGGAAAAGGGGAAACATAACCCCCATTTTTAAAAAGGGAAAAAGGAAGATCTGGGGAACTACAGGCCAGTCAGTCTCACCTCTGTGCCTGGGAAGATCATGGCACA